CAGTGATCCTGTGACGCGATGCACTTTCAATAACCAATGCTTCTGCAATGCAGTGTCAATCAGCAGTGTCTGCCTCCACTCCAAATATTGTTTCAGGTGCTGTACAGCCTTCTCAAATGTTGGGGTTTCCCTCCTGCGCTGGGCGATTCCCATGGAAAATGATTAAAACATTCCATGCTGCTTGGAAATAAGGTCGCGTAACAAATGAGGAAGAATCCCACCACATTGACTTTTCCATGGCAAGGCCTACAATTTCATGATAAGGCTGTACAAGACTGTAGAACTGTCCCCACAAAGGCTCTAAGCTAGGAAACTAGGAAGGGAGCCATGGCTAGGGTTTTGGACTTAAGAAAGTGGCGAAAGAAAGGAGATGGCCAAAAGAGGGTTTGCACTAGAAAGAGTGGTACAAGATATAGGCAAGGCAAAGGGTACACCACCAGCAGTTGATATAACTAACCTAATACACTAGTAAGCTGTAGGCAGGTATAAGATATGCAATATAAATTAACACCCTTCCCAGGGTGACAAGTCATTACCCAGTACCACAAGTGACACTGGGTCGGTCGTTTTGAACTGGGATGGAGTCAAGAGTAGTGATGTGAGTTTTACAGCAGGGCAGAACACGGCCAGTGTATACAAGCACGGATCAAAATGTTCAAGGTGCATGGCTTGATTGGTACACTTCACTAAATGTTCAGGAGAACACAAAAATTTGCACACTCCTGCCAACAGCAGGACTTGATCCCACAACCTCATCACATGCCTGCATCCAGCTCACCCCTCCTCCTAACCCCAAAGCTCGGACTCCTCACTTTCACAAGCGGCAATCCCACAGAGGTCTCTGCTCCCGTCTCGACCCCCATGGATTTGAGAGCACGCGCATAAATCTCAGCATGTGAGTCGTACACACTGGGTGCTGCCCCAGGGCTCGATTCATGGAGAATCTCATTGCACTGCTGCATCAAGCCGTCCCGTCTTAACATTCCCGACGGGTCTGACGCACCCCGGGTTGTTGCGTGCGGAGCTGGCACGGCTGCTGTCCTTCTCCTAGCGCCTGCTGTGTTGGCGCAGCCGTTGCTGCCACTGCTGCCGGTGCTGGTACATTTGACAAAGTCACCCATGCTGTGGGATAGCCGGCTGCCCCTGAAGCAGTCGCCACAGGTCCTGCCGCGGCCGCTGCTGCTGCTCCTTCTCCAACAGGTCGCGGTTGCCGCGGCAGAAACCTGCTCGCAGTGGGGGTGACATCGTTGCTGCTCCAATTCCTGCGAGCCTTCAAAGGAATGCTCCCGGCATTTGTGCTCACGCCACTCCGAATGTTGTCCATTCCTGGATTCATTATCCGTGGATGTGATGTCTCGCTATTCGAGCTCTCATGATTATCCAAGCTTCTGCCGTTCCAACCTTCAGCATTCGCGCCCGCACGGAGCGCTGTGGCAAGGCACGAGGACCACACGTCAGGCGACCATGTGACGACAGACGATGCCAACTCACGGGACCACCGCACTTTCTCCACGTCCGCGCTTCGCGCACCGGCGCGGTTCGAGGCGCCATGATCGAATGCATTCACACCACCCAGAATCTCCAAAATGCCGCCGTCAGCGGCGGCAGCGCTATCAGCCGCGGCAGAGCCGCCAGCGGGACTGCCCGTGATCGTCGCAACCATGGGGCTTCCGGGTCGGAATGGCCGCTCCCGCCGGCCACAGGCCGCATGATGGTCGTCGGATTGACCTTCAACGTGAAGTTGAGAGGACGAGATTGGTGGTTGCGCGTCTGTCGAGTCGCCATGCGGCAGTCCACGCGCCGCGCTTCCAGATGATGTTACCCCGTGGTCATTGCATGCGGTGTTATCACGTAATCCGCAATGATTCGATGGCGCCACGATTTGCGCCGCAGCCGCCGCCGCCGCTGCGGGAACGGCTTCCGTTGCGCGGCCTGCGCCGCCCAAAATGATCTGGTAGCGATCCGTAAACATCGCAAACGGATCCTCCGCGCCGCGTGCTGCTTGGACGAGAGGAGAACCTTCCTGAGTCAGCCAAGCCGCACCGGGGTGGCTGAAGGTTGCTGGGACAAGACTTTTAGAAGCACTACCATGAGAACCAGCGCCGGAAGCGGTTCGCTGATCAATGTGGAGGAAACGGGTTGTGCCTGCTGGTTCTCGACTCGACACAGCGCTGATAGTCTGCGCGACTTTCGCCAACGTCGCACCGTTGCCAGAACGCGCCGCAAAATCCGCCTCACTGTTTCTCTTTGTATGTGGATTGTGTTCGGGTTCGATGGATTGTCGAGGTGGATTCTGTTGGCTATTATCCAAGACACCAAGGGAGAGCGAGAGTGTCAGATCGACGTCACTTTCGCCGTTCAGTGCGGCGGCTGATGCGGTTTCGTTTGCACAGATCGGAGGCTCTTCGATGGAAGAGAATACAGCAGTATTAGGAGACCGAAGAAGCTTGAGACCGTCCGATGCGGGCGCTTCGATTATCGCTACGCCGGCGTGACGCATCCGTTTGGACGGGGGTCCGCAGGTAACGTATTTCACGGCGCAATTCATCGAGAACAAGGAGTTACAACTGTCTGAACGCAGACGTGATAGACGGAAGCGACTGTGCTTGCGCTGTTCAGGCTGGCCAAGGAAAGGTGATTCGGTCGGTGCTTGTTCGGTTGGAGCAGCAAAACGTGGGCTTTCGTTCAGGAGTTGGAAATGCTGACTCTGAAATGCTGAGGAGCAGCAGTGACGAAATTGAAGAGCATTTCCAATTTCACAAATGCACGACTTTCCCACGGCGACATTGTGGAAACCGACATGCTCATAGCGAAGTTTTGTACCGGGCAAGCGAGGTCACACTAACTAGTTGTAATGTACACTTGTCATTCTATATTATCGTAGGTTTCGTCTGTAGAATTCATGTACACTCTATTATTAAACGAAAGAATGAAAACTATACCGACATTTGGTCAGGAGTCCAGAATGACCTGACTGTCTGTTTCTGCCCCTACAAGGGAAGCATGACCCAGCAGTGAAGGCTCAGATCGCGACACCGTGACTCCCGAGAACTGGGGTGCATTTCCGTTTGATGCGTGCGCTCGGGAAGTGGATGAAGTCCCCTCTCACTGGTGGCACGGTCCTATTGGGCAACTCACTCGTGGCAGCAATGGTGTCAACGGTCCACGCACTTGCGATGGGTGTGGTGGATTCTGGGGTGTGTGACCTCAGCATTCGGAAATTCGGGCGACCAACTGTGGCAGTGCTTTGACCTGAGGACCGCAGCCGTGACAGTGGTTGGTCCTCGTTTATTGGCTGGGGAGCTGCGTCCCATTCATCCGCACGAGCGAAGGGAGTGAGGATGGTTGGGTGGGAGCAAGAACGCCCCAGGTCAGATATTTCGCGGAACCCAGCCCAGACAAGAACGGTTGTGTCTGTTGGGAACAAAGCCACGCGAATTGGTCCGCATTCAATGTGATGTCAAAGGAGGTCACCCTTCCAGCTTCGCGAAAAGGGACTGCTACTACTGTATTGGTTCATAAAACGTTGGCTCCCTTTCTCCTTCCTGACCAGGCAAAATCACCTTTCAAAGGCCAAAGACGTTCATACACGCTTTCCCGAATGAGAGCAGAAAATCACAATTGCCATGCCCTGGGTTCCAGTTGCTAAGTTACGAAACTGCGCCCTGGTCGAGCACCAGTTTGTGCCCCTCCCCACCCCCCTCACCAGTTTGTCCCCCCCCCCCCCCCCCCCCCCCCCACCACCAGTTTTAACGCAGAAGCCCTGATCTTTTGAGGCGGATATTTCCTACAGGGGCTCGAGCATTGGGGCATTTACAGTACACACTTTCCTGAAACCGGGTGATCACTAGTCCAGGAAGATCGATTTGTATTCTTGACCGTCCAGATTCTCCAGAAGCAGATTCCAGCTCAACGAGGAGGTCTGGGATCTGGAATCAGTGACGTCAGATAAACACTGCAGGTCATTTGCTGGTCCGTCTCTGGCTATGCGAGAGCCAGCCAGCCCCGCAGCACGCGAAGCGAACCGAAGCGAACTGAAGAAAAGGGGTGCTCATTATTGCAGCGCTGATATTTCGAGAAACGCCCCCTCCGTGTTAACGACGCTATGGGTGTAGTCCTCCAAACCAACAATTATAGTGAGAGGTAACAAATGGCTCACAACAAATGGCTTTACCATCTTCTCAATCCAGCCAAAGCTCATCGACCGGATCCGGTGCAATAACAATTAACATTTCACTCCAACAAAGCAAACACACAACAGACTAGCCCCGAATGCCAACCATCATGTGATCGGAATCATGCCGAAAGCAGAGAGCCGTTAGGACCAGCCCCAATGTCACAGGCCGGCAGGATCCTACTGCACAAACCAAAGCCTGCCATTGAACCAGCTCCGAGGCTCCTCAGTAGTCATTTTCTGAGGTGCTGCAAGTCTTGAAAGGCAGGAAGCTTCCAAGAGGACCAAAGCCCGACATTGAGCTCCACTGGGCTGCCAGGGAGACTCTCTGCTCTCCCCATGATTCATTGCAACGAGCCACATGATAGCCACCACTGCGGCTGAACCTACTCAAACCACTCCCCACTGCACTTCACCCCCCTTCCCCCCCACCCCCTCCCTTTTGAACCCCTAATCCAATCTATCTCAAACACAACACCTTCACAACCTCCCAATGACCCCCCTCTCCTCCTCGCCCCCCATACACCCTTTGCCCATTCTCAACCTCTGTCTCTCACCATGACTGGCCATCCATCACCCAGGGATTGACAAAGCACTCTCAATCCCACCCATCACCTAGGAATTGACATACAGTGCACTCAATTTCATTGCCACAAACCACCTCATGTTCTGGTGGCCGCACGAGTCGCAACCAAGAGGAATGGTCGCCTAGAGATCCCACAGGTTGAACTCTGACAGCTGCTGAAACGTCCCCCCCACAGACCCCTCATCGGAGCCAAGGCAAGCGTGGGCTGTAGCCGCTACAGCCGGCAAGAGAAATGTTCATTTAGAGATCCCACAGGTTGAACTCTGACAGCTGCTGAAACACCCCCGCTCCGGGCCCCTCATGGGAACCCAGGCCACCGACAGCTGTAGCTGCTACAGTCGGCACAGGCCCCAGCATGTCCAAGCCATCGGAGAAAGTAGCATCATCATCCAACATGAGCATGCGCCCATGCTCCATAGCCAGCTTGCTTTCACACTCCATCATCCCCATCTGCATCATTTCCAGCTCGTCCAGAGGAGTCTCCTGCAGCAGCGAGGGCATGCAGTCCAGGTCGCAGTCACCGTCCAGCCAGAAGGAGAACTCGGAGCGAGCCGTGGAGCCGTGCGCGTCCGTGTCAGGCTCCGGGTTCCCAATGCTGCCGGCGATGCTGCCCTCCAGAAACGACTCCAGGCTGTCGAGGCTGTCACGCCTGTCAATGCCATCGCGACCGCCAGTGCCGTCATTGCTGTCGCTGCCGTCGTCGTTGCTGTCGTCATTGCTCTTCTCGCTGTCCGATTCACTGCTCTTCCCCCCATCCACTGCAGCAAGCAGCGGCTTCAACGCCGCTTCCAAGTCGCTCTCCTGCACCCCCGCAGCACCGCTCTCCACCGCTCCAGACCCCTCCGCACCATCACCAACCGGCTGCTCAACCCACTCTCCAGCCGCGAACCTCCTAGCAGCCGCCCCACCAGTCACCTCCACCATACCCCCTTCGCCCTCCACAGCCTTGAGCGCCGCTGCCAGCTCAGCAATGGCGTCCTCCGCGCCCTGCCACGTGGCACACCCACGGGCTGCCGTCAGCAGCGCCTCGGCTGTAGCGGCCGGCATCAGCACGGGGAGCAGAGCCGGGGGTGCCTTGTCACTCGAGCCTTCCGCCGTCCCGGCTGTAGCATCGTCACCGCCTGCACCAACCGCATCGCCTGCACCGGCTGTAGCAGCGGAGCGGCAGAACTTGTCCTTGGGGGGAGGCGGCGACAGCGGCGGAGGCGGCGGGGGAGGCGGGGGGAAGTTGAGTTGCGCCTTGGGGCCGCGCAGCAGCCAGGCGGCCATGTCATACACGCGCGCGGCGTCCTCCCACGAGTCGTACGACCCCAGCCAGATGCGCGACCGCCGGCTCGGCTCTCGAATCTCCGTCACCCACTTGCCCCACCGCCGCTGCCGCACGCCCTTGTGCATCCCGGCGCCCCCAATGCCGCCCGGCGCGCGCATCGCCTCTGGCGTGCCTAACGCCACATCCGCTGGCGTGATGGTTGGAGCCGAGATCTCGGACTCAGCGCTCTCCGCAGCAGAGCTTCCTGCTCCTCTGCTACCACTTCCCCCACTGCCGCTGCCGCTGCCGCTGCCGCTGCCATCCGCAGGAGACTCGGAGCGTTTCGATTGATTGCTCGATCGGTCATCGCGGCCGCGTAACTTGCGCCGGTCACTCAGCGCCCGACCACTGCCAGTGGCGGACGCGACCTGCGGCTCCTCTCCTGCTACATCCGCCGCCGGCGCCGCCGTCGCCGCGGCCGCCGTTTTGCTGCGCTTGTTTCCCGCACCTGACCCGCGCGGTCGTCCGCGGCGCCGTTTCTCGCCCAGAGGCGCGGGGCTGGCGGCAGGTCCGCTGGGAGCGGCCGCAGCGGCGCCGCCAAATCCGCGGAAAGCAGCCAGCGCGGCGGCAGAGGGCGGAGGCGACGCGAACGGAACCCCTGGGGGCGGCAGCATGTGGAACCCCGCCGCGAATGCCGGCGGAACGGGAATCATGGGGTTCCACATGCTACCGCCTCCTGATAGAGCCGCAGCACCCATCGCGCCGCCGCCGCAGCTCGCGGCGCGACTATCGCCTGAAATGAAATGCGTTGGTGGAAAGTAACCGCCAGAAGCGCCTGGAACCGCATTCGACCCGCCGACAAACCCGGATACTCCGCCGTGAAAGGATGCTGCCGCGGAAGCCGGCGACACGGCGTTGGACCGGGGCCCGCCGGGAGCGGCGGAATAGGCGACGTGGATTGGACAGGGGGCTCCTCCTTTGTTCACGACGCGAGTCGCGGCGGGTACGGGGGGGTGATCGCCGTGGGTCAAGTCGTCTCGGGATTCCCGCGATCGACGGAGCTGGAGCTGCTTGCGCTTCGCCACGTGGACGGCTTGCACGAGCCCTGCTATGGCGGTCTGCGCCGACGAGATGGCCTCCTCCAACGCCGCGTCGCTGGTGCCGTCAATCGCGGCGGAAAGGGCGGAAGGCGTGGACGAATGAGCTGGACCCATTGTAAAGAGATGATTCCAAACTCCAGTTCCAATGGTTCCTAATCGAACCGAATAAGCCGCTCTGTGCGTTCTGTGATCGAGCGGCGCTCGCTGTTGCTCGGAGATGGACGGATGCTCGCTGTTTCGATGGTGTCCTCTTCGCTCCGACGATCATATGGCATATGACGATACTCGTGAACGATCATATGCTCTTCAATGATCGCCGTGACGTTGCTCAACAGGCTGACACAGGGTAGGGCCCGTTGCTAGTACCCGATCGCGCCGCGTTTGGCTCAGCCAATGAGAGGCGAGCTGTGCGTCACGCACGAGCGACGCGCAGCGTGTAGGGCAATGAGAGGCGAGACGCAATCCAAGGGAGGCGCATCTGCGTGGGAGAGCAGGCAGCGAGTGGGGATTCAAGGGCGGGCGAATCTACCCGGGAGAGAGCAGGCGACAATTGCCGCAGTTGGCGCTAGGTGTCTCTACTCGCTCTGCTCGCTCTGCTTGCTGACAGCGTGCTGGCTGGGACGCGACTGGAGATTGAATGGACGAAAGCACGGCGCTTAAATCCTAAGCGGGGGTGCGTTTCTAGCGGGATTCCTTGGGGGATTCCGCCTTTGCCGTGCTGTATTGGTTCGCGGAGCAGGTTGAACGAGCCTCCACTGGCTGCGGTGGAACCAGCGGGTTCACCACTCGCGCGGCGGGCGGATTCCGAAGAACCCGCTGGTTCTTGGTGACCAAGAACTCTAGAAGAACAGCGCCATTCTTCCACGGGTCGAGTCCATCCGCCAAGGCGAGAGGCGGAGCGCGAATCTGCATCTTCCTCCCCCTGACGGGTCATCGGGGCACCGCGGCGCCCTACGTTACAGCACATGATTACGCCTCTGCGGTGACAGCTGTGATCTAGGATGGGACCAAAAAGCCAGATATTGGATGCCAAGCAGCCATGCTGTGCCCCCTAACTCGACATTTTCTCGCTTCCTGCTCCAGCGTGGTCGCTCTGCTGCTTCTACCTCACTGTAGGCGTTTGCTGTGCGAAATATACGTCGATGAAGGGGATTTTTCTACATCTCAACAAGTAAGCGGCATTTCGGTGTAATTGGAACTATTAACTAGAGTTTGTGCTTTGATTGACTCCATAATCACATCTAAAACGCTTCCATTTCTTACAAACAAAAACAGCTGCCAGGGTAGGTTAAATCGGAAAACAGACAATACCTTGGCGGGGGCCGTGTTTCGCAACCTGGCTGCGCAGTTCCCCCATTCATCACCACCCACCCCCCCGCCCCCCCCCCCTCGCCCCAACCTTCCAACCCCTTTGCCAACGATTCCGCCTCCCCGCACATTGAAGTAAATCCGCAACATCCGCGAAGTCCCTTTTCCGCGCTAAACGAAGCCGAGTTGCGCTTGGCGTCCGGCACTGGCTTCTTGGCGTGGCAGCCGCCAGCTGGCAAGAGCTCGTGGATTCCTCGTGTTGAGCGTGCGGAGTTGCAAGTTGGTTGCAGCGGCCACGCACAGTGCCCGAAGAAGCTGCGCAATTTCATGAAGAAGTCCCTTCGAATGTTGAAAGAACCTTCCTTTCAAGCTGGTCGTGCAAGCTTTGGGGGCAGATTACACTTGCTGAACACCCTTCACACGCCATTGCTTTGGTCGGAATCAAACAGAATGTTTTCTTTTCCTGTCGTACAGTCCGTACACGCGGGCATGTGAGAATATTTGGCTCCATGAATTCCGTTGAACCTCACAGGTTTGCGTTGCTGCGCTGGAAGGAGACAAATCTTAAGGCACGCGCTTTGGATCTTCCTCATCCCGGACGGACCTGCTGAAACGTCGAGTAGGTTCATCTGGCTTGTGAGCCAAGCTGCTGGAAATATTTGGCCGCCACGTGGAATCCTCGTGAGCATCGCGGAAATGCAACCGTTCCAGTCGTACCTGCTTGAGGAGAATGAAGAACTGCTTTGATTATACACCCTAGTGTTGGTGTGATTATTCTTTACAATTATACATTGAAACCTTCATTCATACATCCTCAACAAGCCACCATACTAGAACATGCAGAAGGTATATGTCTGTCTGTTAATGTCGTATATACACTCTGCTTACTCGGATGGATATTCTCTGAATCTCTGATGCGATTAAGTTGCTACTATGTTGTACCTTCCTTGTATAAACTAACCGATAAGAGTCTCGTAGCGTGTTGCTCTGCCAGCACAACGCTGGCCAAAAGTACAATGCTGTGGTCGTTACCAAGGATGCTTGGCTCCTCCATTGGTAACACCAGAGTCACCAACATTACAACAACTACGCAATACCGCAGTCAAAATCAACTACCTGGGTCAGAGCGGAAGGGAAGTCACCAGTAACATAATTAGCAGGGTTCATTCTGCCAACAGCCTACAGCTGGTTGCGCAGACGGCGAAGCAACACAGAAACGTCACTTGCATGGTCGGCTGAGTACCGCTCAAAGCGGCGGCGAATCGGGGCTGGAGGAGGGGCAGGCTGCCCCGCAGGCACATTGAGGTAGGCGTGGAACAGCGCATGCCACATGTCATTGTTCCAGTACCTGCCAGTCAGCCAGCCAATGGCAGAGAGCAGCAAGTGAGAGCAGTGGCATAAACACACAAAGTAGATATCAGCAGCTGGAGGAGGGGCAGGCTGCCCACACTAAGGGTAGGTGTGGAATAGCGCATGCCAAATGTCACGGTTCCAATACCTGCCCGCCAGCCATGGCATGGCAGTGCTGTAAGCGAGAGAGCAGTGGTACAAATGCACGAAAGTAAATCCACCTAACTTCTCGGGAATATCCCAAGAGCGACTGACATGAGGGGGAAACCACGCGAGAGAGAATTCAGGCTGACCTCTTGAGTTGGAGCCTTGGGCGATAGTAAGCACCACCGTCCTCCTCGGAGTTAGCAGCCGTGTCATCAGCACAGCCGTCCAGATCCGCTGCTCTGTCGCCACTGGCGTTCCCTGCAGGCACCCTCTCTACCTCCATGTACTGCCCGTGCAACAGACAGTAGGCCGTGGCACACACCGCATAGAGATCAGCCTGGACGGGAGCAGCACAGAAAGGGGGGGAAAGAAGGAGGGAAACTGCGTCATTGCAAGGTGGGGGATAGAAACAGTAGCGGTCTCACCCGCATGCTAGAGTTAAGCACCTGCCACAAGCATTCTGCACCACCCACCTTCCACTGCCATCTCAATCATGACTAATGCTGTCTCCCTCTCAATCTCTACCACACTTCACCACACATGTACCACACTGTACCATACCTGCGTGGTCCACGGGCGCCCTTCCACCATCTCAGGGCACCGGAAGTTCTCTGTGCCGCTGTCAGAGACAAAGGAGGAACCCTCTGGGAAGTGCCGCATGTCAATGCTGCGCCCGTAGTCCACCAGGGTGACGCCCTGAAGGAGTTGGAAGGAGTGGGGAGGAGTGAGGAGTGGGGAGGAGTGAGGAGTGAGGAGTGGGGAGGAGTGGGGAGGAGTGAGGAGTGGGGAGTGGGGAGGAGTGAGGAGTGGGGAGGAGTGGGGAGTGGGGAGGAGTGAGGAGTGGGGAGGGGTGAGGACCGGTGAAGTAGAGGGGCGGATGGGGGTTGAGGGATAGCAGGGAGGGGACCGGCGATGTTCAGTGATAGGAGGCATAGAACGAGCAACATATGCTTGCTGCCGTTCAGTGATAGGAGGCATAGAACGAGCAAGGGGAGATAAATTTCAGAGTTGAGAACAAGAAATATTCAAGAGAGAGATTGATAGTCGAGACAGGACAAGCCGTACCGTGGAAGGTGCACCGGCCTCGATAGCAGCCACCATCTCCCTGGGACTCTCACTGTCAGCCCTGCAATGAGGCACGCATGGCAATACGCAGGCAGAGCGAGGAAGCCACGTTGCAGCACAAACTTCAGGCTCCTAAGGGGTTGTCTGGCTACTTGCAATCTCTACCCTTTGATACATCTAGAAACGAGGCACTCAGAACGAGGAAATCACGCTGCAGGAAGCAGCACACAGCAACACATACCCGAATCGCAGGAGGAAGTTGTCTGGCTTGATGTCCCCATGGAGTATGTGAGCGGCATGCAGGGCCTCTACAGCTCGCAGCATCTGCGCCGTGTAGAATGCGCACAGCAGCTCTGGGACCGGCTTGCCCTGCCTCTTGAACGCATTCACAACGTCCTGGAAATAAAAGGGGGGGGTCATCATGCGAGGACGGGGGCATTGCGTGTGTGTGTGTGAGCCCCTATGTGCGTGTAGAATGCGCACAGAGGCTCCGGTACCGGCTTGCCCTGCCTCTTGAACGCATTCACCACGTCCTGAAACAACAGGGGGATTCATCAAGCGAGGATGGGGCAATTGGGTGTGTGTGCGAGAGCCCGTACGTGTGAGTACACACCTACAAACACACTTGCATACTCACCTGCATACTCACCTGCATATTCACAGGCTCGCCTGCAAAGTGCCACTGGTGCCCAGGGAGCAAGTGAGGATGGGTGAACAAGAGTTGTGTGGATGTATGCACCTGCATACTGACCCACATTTTCACATGAATACTCACATGCGTCCTAGCTTTCATGCATGCTCATATGCCAGCTCACCTGCAGAGCGTCACTGGTGCCCAGGGAGCATGTGAGGATGGGGGAACAAGAGTTTTGTGCACGTATGCACCTGCATACTGACCCGCATTTTCACATGAATACTCACATGCGCATTAGCTTACATGCATGCTCATGCCAGCTGACCTGCAGAGTGCCGCTGGTGCCCAGGGAGCAAGTGAGAATGGAGGGGTAAGACATTTATGCATGCACACACCTGCATATTCACCTGCATGCTCCCATGCCAGCTCACCTGCAGAGTGCCGCTGGTGCCCAGGGAGCAAGTGAGGATGGAGGCATTGGGGAATTCGTGATAAGCTGACGCCGTGCCAAACAGTTGCCGCTGGTGGGCGGGGGAGGGGAGGGAAATTGGAAGGGAGAGGGGGGTTGGAAGAAGCCGATAGAGGTGGAAGTTTAAACAAGGGGAACTCGGGAACTCGTGGTAAGCTGACGTCGTGCCAAACAGTTGCCGCAGGTGGGGGAGAAGGGAGGGCAGAGGAGAGGAGGAAGGCGAGGGAGAAGTGAGGGCGGAATGGAGAATGCCAGGAGGAGATTGATGTAAAGAGTTATGAGCGTGTACATGGATAACAGGGAGGGGAATGATGGTATGAACACAGGCATCAGGCAAGCGTATCATTGCGAAAATTAGAGGAACAAAGTGCGTGGATGAAGGACAGGGAAGAAGGGTAATAGCCTAGGCACCTGTGGGCCGTCGATTCGCAATTGGATCTGACGGTAGATGTAGAACTCCCAGGGGCAGGGCTTGGAGTGGAGCTGCAAGACAGGGTGATGGGTGGAGGCATAGACGAGAGAAGCGACAGGTTGGAAAACAGCATTCACAGGCGCTAAGAAACGAGATTAAGCCAGCTACGTGTGATGCTGCTAGTAAGTTGAAAAAAGAACCAACGCATCGGTTCTGTAGATGTATCTGCCGCACAGCTACCGACACACAAGGGTAAGATGGACTACCACAGTACCTTGAGGGCCACAGAGCGGAACACCACAGTGCTCTCTGTAGCCGCGTCTGCCACCCCAACAGGGGTCTCAGTGGCGCCATAAACCTTCGCGTATGCCCCCTTGCCCAACAGCCGATCCACCTCGTAGCTCCTGCTCCCTGCAGAGAGGAGTGGGTAGGTGGGGGGAAAGGGTGGGTGCACAAAAAGAGCCGGGAGATTAGATGCTTGCTTGCTGCAGTATCTGCCACCCCAACGGGGGTCTCTGTGGCGCCATAAACCTTTACATAAGCCCCCTTCCCCAAAAGCCGATCCACCTCGCAGCTCCTGCTGCCTGCAGAGTGGGTGAGAAGGGAGGCGCAGAGAGGGGGCCTGGTCGTCAGCAGAGCAGGGAGATGGTTAGCCATTAGCAGAGAGAGGTGGAAGAATGACAGCAATGAGCCAGGCAGAGGGAGAGGAAGGAGGAAGAAGAAGGAGCATGGCAGCAGCAGGGGGTGGGGTGCGTACCAAGGCGGAGGTCCACAGGTTCTCCTGCTTTGCCATCCCTCAGCGCCTTGAGCCTGGCCGGCACGTGCAGCGGCTCTGAGTGCCGGTGGTAGCCCTGCAGTGGAGCAGGGGAGGGAGAGAGGGAGAGAGGGAGAGAGGGAAAGGAAGAGGAAGGGAGGGAAGAAAGAGAGAGATATATTGAATGCCCTCGGGGCATGCCTGGACGCGTGGAGCCAACTAAGCCATCCCAGAGATGCATTAGAGGTAGAGAATAGGTTGGAATCAACAGGTACCGGGGTGATGGGAGGCTGAAGGGCGGCGAGCGAGATGCCCTCAGAGACCTTCAAGTCGCAAGAAGCAGAACTCACAAAGTCACCCAGAAATGCAGTTTTCCCGTGCACCCAAAAAGTTTCATGTTTTGGGTACACAGAGGCTTCGATGCACAGGCTGGACTCACAGGCTCGGCAGTGAGGGGAGGCTGAAGGGCGGCGAGGAGAGACGCCCTCAGGGACGAGCTCCAGGGGTTGACCTGCTGGGGCGGGCCCGCTGGAAAGGCTGGCACCTGTGGCACGCAGGGAGATAAGTACAGAGACAAGTGGTTGTTTGGTAGAGAGAATGCGTTTAGGAGTGGGGTTCGACCAGGGAGGCACAGGGCAGTTGGCAGTGTAGTTTTGTTTTGTTTGCAAAACATTCCTCCGTTTTTACAGCAACCCTAAACCCGAAACCCTCGGTAAACAAAGTTCGTTGGAAAGGGAGGGAAGGGACATGACGGAGCAATTCCTAGTATGTGGTTGGAGCTTGGAACTCACCCTGGAATGCTGAGGAAAGCGTTTGCAGACGACGATGGGGTCAACCTGTGGAATCAGGTTCAGAGGGCAGAAACAGGGGATAAAAGCAGTAGAGGCATAGGTTAAATCAAATACACTTCGCATGTGCATGCATATGCTCTTGCATTCATGGAGGAGAAGGATCTGATCGACATTGGACATGTAAGCAGGGAGTAGGTTTACTGAGAAAGCCAATCAGATTTACCACAAATATGTGGTAACAGAGCCATAAAGCATTGCCACAAAGCCCCCAAGAACAAAACAGCATTGGGAAAAAGAAGCAAAATCCCACTTGACTTCCATAACGTGTCACAAAAGATAGCCATTCTCTCACTGCACATCCCTCACCTGTGCATGCACCGTGTGATCAAAGCAGAGAAAATTCTCCTCCACCCTCCCACCACCAGCAGCACCACCATCACCACCGCCAGCATCAGCCCCACCAGCGGCCACAGCCTGCCCTCTGTGCTGCTCCAGCATCTGCCTGAAACCCTGCACTCTCTCCTCCTCCATTCCCAACTCACTCAACCCCCCCGTGAGCCCACTCCCCTCCAGTTCCCCCTCCCCCTTACTCCCCCTCTTCCTCCTCCCACGCTTGCCTGCGCCCCTCTCGCCCCCCTCTCCTTCCCCACCGCTTCCTCCCCCCTCAGCAACCGCACTCCGTTGCGCACACTCCCTGCTCTCTGCGTCCTCCCCACTCGTTTCTTCCCCCGCGTCCTCTCCCCATCTCATTCCCCCTGTTCCCTGCTTGTCACTCCCTGCATCTGCTCTATCTACAGCAGCTAATGAGCACTCTGGCGAGCCATCTCCCACTGCAGGCCCTGGGTTGGCTGTGGGATTCGGATGGGCCTCCAAGGTTGGCGGACAGGTTGAGAGCGGTGCAGCGTTCATGTAGAGCGGTGGAGGCAGGTTTCTGTGGTGCAGCCAGTAGAGGTAGCGCTGCTCCTCGAAGCTCGTCTCCTGCTCCTGGCATGGGCCTGGGGAAAGGGCACATGGAGCAAGTTCAGACACGTTCTAAAATAGGATACAACGGGATACGTTGCATACAATAGGAAGTATGGCAGTGAGCAGTATGAGAGTTCGAGTTTGAAATAGCGCTGATTCTCGATGCCTGTCTCCTGCTCCTGGCATGGCCCTGGGGGAAAGGCACGGAGAGGGCCTAACGAGTCTGAGATGGATGAGGGAGTGACGTTGCGCGATGCAAAGCTGCAGGCGGCGAGAAATCAAGCAGCAGCAAGCGAGCAAGTTAGGAAAAACACTTGGTCAAATGGGAAACGATTGAGTTGACCTGCGCTACCTGTGTTCGAAGCGCATGCAGCTTCAAGTTGACTTTTGAGTCGATTCAAAAGGAAAATGAATGAGTTGACCTGTGTTACCTGTGTTTGAAGCAGATGCAGCTTCAGAGGCCTGCTCTCGACTCCCCACCTCAACCCGCCCTCTGCATGGACAACACAGGGAGGGAGTAGGATTACAGAGGAGCGACCAACAAAGGAACCAAGGTAAATGCACCAAGGAACAACACGTAAGGTCACATGGCATACCACCGCCATTAAGCGGTACAATCCCATTTCCATGCCGCGTTCTGCCTCTTGATCCTCCTGAAAAGTTACTCTTTCTGAGGCGCCTCAAAAGTCATATCATAACGCGCCATGCTTCCCAACCCGCCCTCTCTCACCTCTCCTGTGCTGCATCTGCGTGCCCCTCTTGACCCCGCTGGACCTCCACATGCGGCTGCAGCACCCTCCTCTTTGCCCCGCTTCCTGCCAGGCCCCTGTGCATTCTCCTTGCAGCTGACGGGCTGCCGAGAGAGAGAACAGGGACAGGACAGCACTCAGTCAGACATATTCCTTCTTTAGACGTTTCTATATTACTTTCCTCTTTGCCCCGCCTCCCCCGAGACCCCTTCGCTCCTCGCAGCTGACGGGTTGCCGAAAGGGAAAAGGTCAAGGGGACACCATCGGTACCAACACACAGTGGGAACAGGGACAGCAGTCAGTCACAAACATTCTCTGGGCGCCTCAGAAACCGTTTCCTGCCTCCCTTCATCTAGTACCTCTTCCTCACCTTCTGACATCCTCCCCTACTCACCTACTCACCTCCTCACCTACTCACCTCTCCACCTCTCCCAGTACCCACCTCCTCAGCTCCTCATCCCCGAAAATGTCAAGGCTGATTGACCCTGAGTGTAGTGATTGTGGTTACCCTGTTACCCTGTTGCCTCCCCCTGTAACGCACCTCCTCAGCTCCTCATCCACGAAAACTTCAATCGACCCCGAGTCAGAGTCCCTCCTCGCCCGCTTGAATGCCTGCAACGCACACAATAGGCACGCAACAGGCTCACAACAGGCACACAACAGGCACACAGCAGGCACACAGCAGGCACACAGCAGGCACACAACAGGCACACAACAGGCACACAGCAGGCACACAACAGCCACACAACAGGCACAGTACAGGCACACAAACAGACAGCCACACAACGATCAAGCCGGTGTGAGCATGGAATGCCGGAGCAGAAAAGAAATCGCTGATGCTGAGATGAACCACCCCAGCCAGTACCAGGTTTCCCAGTGAGCCCCCCTGTAAGACATGGGTGGATATATTCTGGTCAGCAACGCACCCGTCTAAGTGCTAATAATCACACCATGCATCTCAAAACCGCACCCTGGCATGCGAGCAGCGCACCTGAGATCTGTCCCATTCGGATGACGGAAGGACGTTCTCGTTGTGTGGCCCATAGGAACCAGCACCCATTCGCTGTGAGCCACGCCGACCGCCTGCAATCCGAGAACCATTGCTGCTGTCATCCGACGAATCATCTAACTTACATTTTGGTCAGAAATCGGAGGGGTGTTCTCGTCATGCGGCCCTTGGGGACCAGCACCCATTCGCTGCGAGGCACGCCGACCGTCCCCTCCATTGCTGCTGCCGTCCCCACGCAAAGCACCACCCCCCGCAGCACGATCCTCCTCGAGCGGTGCCCTGCAGCAGCAAGCAGAGAGTCACACCATTAGCCCCACAGCACGGCATGCCAGGCCTCTAGGCTCTAGCAAAAGAACCTCTAGGCTTTAGCAAAAGAACCTCTAGGCTCTAGCAGCAAAGAACGCACGCAAGGCAGTGCATGTAATAGATTGCGGTTTCACTGCGGCCAGTGGGAGACAGCAACCGGACATCAGCTTGTGGGAGCCACCAACTGGAAGACAGCAAGCAGGACAGCTTGCGGGACAGCAAGGGGGCACCAACCTTGCTGCTATGCTCTCTTCTTGAGGGAAGCCCACCCGCCGCTCTCGTTCTCCAGTAACGGCTGCTGCTGATTCATCACCTGGGAAGCAAACCAGGCCGAAGCAACACAAAGTCGGTCAGTCTACTCCAAAAGAATATCACAAGCTACGAACTGACTTGGAGACTACCTGCAGATGGGTTAGCTGGCGCAGACAGGCGCCTGCTGGTCTGGTTCGTGTTTTGAGTCGACTAAAAAAAGGAATCAAGCTACAAGGTGACGGAGAAAGCATCGGTACCTGCAGATGGGTTAGCTGGCGCAGACGACCCGATCCTGCTTGCCTGGTCCGCCCCCTCTCTTCCATTCATCGACCTCGCATACTCTTGTTCCTTCTGCACATGCACAGCACGATGACATGACACACGGTGCGAAATGACCAGGTTCAGGTGAGGGAGGATACTTTGACTGACTAAGGCTTTGAGAGACGGTGCTGTGCATGCGCAGAGGATCACTGTGGCTCTGCTATGCACATGCACATGCACATGCACTTGCTCTTCACCCCACGGTGCTGTGCATGCGCAGAGGATCACTGTAGCTCTGCTATGCACATGCACATGCACATTCTCTGCACCCCAGGGTGTTGTGCATGCGCAGAGGATCACCGTACATCTCCTCAGGCATGGTGAGCCTCAAGTCAATGCAAACAGAGCAAGGCAACCCAGAGCCTGGATTGGAAAAGTCTCAGGAACATACACATACCCGCTGCTGCTTGCGCAGACTCCGCTCGGCCATTGCATTACGGAAATTTTTGTACCCCTCCTCGAGCCGATCCTGAGGCTGCGCCCCTCTGCAGGAACAGATCTCAGGGGAGAGGGGAAGGGGGGGAGAGGGAAGAGGGGGGGGGGGGGGGAGGGGGAGAGGGTTGGGAATACAAGCCGTCGTGAGATCCTGGCATCGTTTGACCAAAGGCACCTTCAGAAGCACCGTCGGCTGACCAATAAGCCAGAAGCATATCCTGACAGCAGAAGCACGATACGCTTCTGGCACGTCGCTTGGACATAACCAACCCTCACATTCACCCTCACATATCCTTTCATTGGAACACCTTCAGAGCCTGACTAGAAAGCCGCAACAAGGCTCGCCATCTTTCCTGCACCTTGACTCCACCCTGGTCTGAGCCGCTTGACACGCGCTCACCTCCTGAGGCCCCTCCCGCAGACTTCGTTGCTCCACACGAAGTCATGCTTCTTCTCTAGAACCGACACCTGAGGCGCCTAAGAAATCGCTCGAGACGCGCTCACCTCTTGATGCCCCATCGGTAGACCTCGTAGGCCTGCTTGAAGTAATGCTTCTTCTCCAGAATCGATATCTGACGCGCCTAAAACGCTTGAGACGAGTTGACTTTTGAGTCGACGCTCACCTCTTGATGCTCATCGGTAGACCTCGTAGGCCTGCTTGTAGTAGTGCCTCTTCTCCAGAACCGATATCTGACGCGCCTAAAAATCGCTTGAGACGAGTTGACTTCTGAGTCGACTCAAGAGACACGCTCACCTCTTGATCCCCCATCGGTAGACCTCGTAGGCCTGCTTGAAGTAGTGCCTCTTCTTCAGGACCGACATCTGACGCGCCTAGAAAATCGTTTGAGACGCGCTCACCTCTTGATCCCCCATCGGTAGACCTCGTAGGCCTTCTTGAAGTAGTGCCTCTTCTCCAGGACCGACATCTGACGCGCCTAGAAAATCGTTTGAGACGCGCTCACCTCTTGATGCCCCATCGGTAGACCTCGTAGGCCTGCTTGAAGTAATGCTTCCTCTCCAGAATCGCGGCGTATCCTTCGTAGAACAGAGCGTGGCTCAACCCAATGCCCTTTTCCGTCAGAAGAGAGAACACCTTGAGGGGCTCCCCTGTTAGGCCCGCCTGCGCGTGCACCAAGAACAGGATAGAGGGCGCGCGAAAACGAGAACGGATCTGAATATTATGTAAAAGCTGACGGAACCGCGCGTCCGTTGAGTTGGACGGCGGAAGGGGATATATATTTTTTTTCTAGTCGTAGGCTACGTAGATGCTGAATGCATATCCGTAGCGTTACTAACAGCTAGATCCATATCCGTAGCCTTGCAACATCTTATATTCATTTCCGTAGCCTTACTAACATTCTGAATCCACATCCGTGGCCTTACTAACATACTGAATCCATATCCATGGCCTTAATTACATATCGAATCTACATCCGCAGCCATACTTACATATCGAATCCATATCCGTAGGTACCGAATGTCGTCCTTGTACTCGCCGCACCTCAGAAAGGTCTCAGTGCATCTTTTGAGAATGTCCAACAGCTCCGATGTACCTTCGCTCGTTTTGGACCGAGAGATTTCCAACTTAATGTATCTGCATAAGTAGGAAAACGACCTCAAGCATCTGTAACTTCTGAAAAAAAAAAGCGAAGAAACCGCGGGTGCATCTAGCGCTGAAATGACGATAAGAATTAAATATACTTGACGGTTCCTCTGGTTTCTAACCTGTCCCACGGATCTAAAGGATCGTCGCCGTTGTAATTCCTCATCTCCTCGAGGAGCGACCTGCAACCAGGACACCGATTCTTTCAATAACGAGCACTTGCGTCTCGTCAGAGTCCTACGACAAGCGACGGCGTGAAACTTCCGCGAAGAGCATCTTGTGCGACGCGTCCTAACCTTTTTTCGCTCTCATAGTCCTCCTCGATGTTGCCGCTGTTGACAGCTTCTAAGGCCTGTTTCGCGACGGCGTCTCTGGTTCGTGGCCCAATGTTCTCCTTCTCGAGCTGCCAATCCATGCCGAATCTAGAAATCGGCTACGTTTCGCCGGGAGTATCGTCGAGTGGTATAGTACGACAAGCTCTAAGACAGGAATATAAAGGTTATTACAGACGCACCATACGGAGACGGGAACTACTAGTACCTATTATAAAGGCAGGAATATAGACGCTAATGCTGACGAACTAACAAACTATATTCTGAGTCACCAGATGAGTCACGACAGCTACTAAAAAGGGACTTCTACTTTTCAGAAACGAACTGGCTTTCAAAAGCCGAAACTGTCATGGAGGCAATTTCAAGGTGAAGTTCGAGCTGACGGGATAAGCCTCGAGCTTGTCAGAGAGCGTTTGTGATGTGGGAGGAGGGAGCTGGCAGGATTCGTGCTTGTGCGGATGTGAGTATAGCGAGTAGATGTGATGAACGCACCGCGGAAATTCAATTTTCGCGCCTATTTGTGTCAGGAAGTCAGCCAGCCAAAGCCAGTGGCAAATCCCGATATCGCTTACATTCGTTATTACTAGGTATAGGCATTGAAAGGCGAATTGTTATCATAGAAAGTAGGTAGGTCAATGCGTAATCTAGATAGAACAATTTTGCGTTCATGTGTACATGGGCTTCTCTTGAAGACTTCCCTAACTTGTATTATGACAGAACACCCAGACAAGGGTCCAATTGCTTTATCGTACAACCTTGAAGGCTAAAACATGTATTAAAATACAAAATCAAGATGCCATATTGTATCAGAATTTAGTTGTGACAAACATGTTCCATCAATTCGCAAGATTACCCCTAATTTTGAAAAAGATTCTCCTCGGTGCCCAGGCTCACCGAAAGGTGACGTTTCAGTCCTCCAAAGGTCGGGACAGGCTCATTCAAGTCCCAAGCTTGGTTGGCAGGCTGAACCTCGCTAAGCTGTTGTCAGTGTGAGATAAATAGGGAGCTTGGTTGGCAAGCTGAACCTCGCTAAAGCAGTGCTGCGCAAACAATTGGGAACCCAAGCCCTTTTTATCAGGAGAATTGCGGGTTGGGCATCAGTCGATGCCCAAACCGCGCACGCGAAATTGCCTTGCACGTTCCAGAAACCTTGCACCCGTGGGTTTCTTGCCGCGAAGTTGCACCTACGTTACAAGCACGTCGACCAATAAGAGCCACAGAAACGGAAGTCTGACTGATGAGACTGCAGTCAAACAGTCAACGGTGAGTTACAAAATTTTTATATAAGCCCTTTTTGCCCGAAGCGAATTGACGAAACCACCGCGAAATGCAGAATCACTTATACGCACATGGGGTAGGCCAAAGTTGGGGGGCTCAACCGGGCATCATGTGTATGAACGTTTTGGGGATGCAAAAACCTGGGTTGGATGGCGAGGGTGGATGAGACGGGAATCAAGTCCAAATCGGTGAGTGACGTGTTGGTACGCCGCGGCTCCGCGTTTGCCGGAAATATGGACGCACTTGACCGCACCTGGCATCTTTCCACTGTTCCATGCAAGCCAAGTGACGACTCGATGGCGCCCTCACAGAGCCCGCAACTTGTGTATCAAACGCGTTCAGCTGGGACCTGGCCCCTGGGCAATGCTGCACACACATCGAAAATTTACAGTGCCCTGCTATCTCCAAGAACGTCTAGAATGGATAGGGCGTGTTCCTTCGAGAACCCAAAATCGCAATTTGTCGTCGAGGTGTGCGCAGCGTATTGACCGTACTGGTACCGCAGCCGCCCTTAGCATCAAGATGTCAGTTTTACCAACTATAAATCTTACAAAGTCGCCCTCCAAAGGAAGCTGTTACAATTTTAGGAGTTCACAAAACCCTTTTGTGGCAATGACAGGCGACCCTTGTCTCCAAGACGCTCTTTCATCTACTAAATGGCTCGCAGCAGATGTTCCTGTTGGCTCGACCCGGATCCTATTACCCTGAGCGGTACAAGTACAAGCCGAGACTCGAAAAGGGCAGGTGCGGTCAGCCACCGGAAATTGGAAACACGTCCCCCCACAATTCTGAAATACTGTATCCAAGCGCCCCGCGGAACCAACCGCTGGCATGGCATGGCATGTCCTGATTTCAAACTGCTGCTCCTCCAAACCCCTGATGCATGTGGTTCGTGGCCCACCTGTCAACGAATACTGGCGAAACTCACCGACACTCCTGCCATCCGAATCTGTCAAAGAAGTAGGCGTGAACGAACTTGTACAGTAGCTGATTCAGTGTATGCTTGAAAACACTGTTTAGGCTAGGCAAATTTGTCCTATGTTACATTCTCCCAACCTTGAAAATGGCATCGCAAATGCTAATTCATGACACACTTGCTACTGTCAATACACGCAAACCTTATACACCCTGTTTTTCGCTACACTGAACCGCGCAGGAAAGCTACTGTTTCTTGGCAGTATTCGGGATTTTCCCACTACCGAAACCATTCAACCGAACCGAGCACGCAGGTGTGCGAGGGGTTTGTTTTCGGAATGCAATTTCCTACATACCGTATCCAGCCATTCTAAAACAACCAGAGAACTTTCGGAAACGTATTAAAACACACTCAATCGCTCTGGTTCAAAAGTTCACTAAAACGCAGGTGATAGCGCGCTTCTGTACGGGGTGAGTTTCTAGTAACAGGGAATTACTATATTCAAGTTCAGTGGCGAAAAACAGGGTGTACGAAAATATCCTAAGCCCGCTAAGAGAAATTGGCGCAACATTGTGGCCTTCCTAGTCTGGATTCTATTCGAAGACAAGGGCGGTGTTGTCCGTAGATCGCAGGCGTTGATGCAAACTCACGAGGGTTGAGCAGTCAAACCCGTGTCTTTTTCTAACGCTTCCTCCTGCCTCCTCCCTGCACTTGCTCCCTTCCTCCCCTAACACCTGTCCCCCCCCCAGCATCCCTCAACTCCAACTTCCGCCATCCATCTTCCGCCAAGCAATCACATCTGCCACAGTCCAATTTCTAGGTTTATTGAAAAACCCATTTCCTTGCCGCTCTTCAAGTCCAACCAATATCATTGGTGCACTTGGAAATAAAGTGAGAGCACGCCAACACATCACAGCCATCCTCTGCAACCCCAATCTTATTCATGCACCTCTGCTCCAGCTCGCGGAGTAGTGATTGGTTTTGGAGTTCACGCACAAGCACCCGCTAAATCGTCCGGTCGCCGTTGAACGGCGTTTCAAAGTCCCAGCCGCGCCACTCAGCCTTTCATTCTAATGTTTCTTCGTCTCGGATCCATGCTTGTGCTTCGACCTTCTACTTGTAGTTACGGCTTCAATCTCAACATCCGCTCTCAAGTACGTTCGACAGGTCGAAATGTTCAGACGAGGCTGATCGATTTTATATATATAAAAAAAAGAGATAAAAATGCTAGATCGATTAGTGATCAACGGAGAGGCGAAATCAAGCTGTCCCACCGTTTGCAGTAAATTGCGCTACGTGGTCATCCGTTGCTCCATCTTCCCCTTTTTTTTGCGACCAATCAAATTTCCGACTGACAAGAAAAATTAACAAGAAATTAATTGGATCGGGATCCTTCCTGCTTCTGGCCCTCCTTTTCTCCCATCGTATGAGACGCGGATCTATTCAGCGAGTCGTCGTCTGAAGTCACGTCTCAGCAGCCCCTATTTTTTCCCCCTCTTCCTAGTACCCTCACCACATTGTCTTTCCCTGTCCTTTGACGTTTTGGTTTACCTTCTATGTGTATAGTACATATATTTTTTTCTTCGCACAAAATCCTTTGTTCCTCTGTTACCATGAGTCGGTCTAGCCTGTCCTTTAGTTCCCCTACCATTCCTCCAGCGCTGTGCCCCCCCACCCTCCCTCCCACCCCCTCATTTTTTCAAGAAGGCAATACTCCCACCTGTGCTTCTTCATGGCATTCTCTCCACATTGCCTCTCCTTGATCCCCACCACTAGCTACGTTGACAGAAGCCCCAGGCCTCAACCATCCACTCCTAACTCGACTACCTCTCACATGCATTTTTTCACGTCATTTGCCTCTCCTTGACCCCACCACTACCTACGTTGACAGAAGCCCCACCTCCACTATCCACTCCTGCCTCTACATCTCATCATACCCTTTTCATGCCATTCTCCCCACATTGCCTCCACTTGACCCCCACCACTACCTACATTGATACAACCCCCAGATCCGCACTATCCCAGTCCTGCCTCTAACCTCTACCTGCGCCGGAAAAGCTTCATGCCTCTCCTAACCACTCCTGCCTCCACCTGTTATGCTTTCTCAATGTCAACCCCCTCACATGGCCTTGCCGTGACCTCCAGTTCCTGTCTTCACTGAGGCGCAGGCCCCCTGTAATCACTCCTGTCTCCCTCCACCTGTCATGCTTTTTCAATCAGCCCCTCACGTGATCACCCCCCTCATATGGCGTTGCCGTGACCTCCAGTTCATGTCTTGACTAAGACCCACCTTATTCACTCCTGGGCCCCAACGTTAGATTCCTGAACTTGCTCTCTTGATGCTATTCCTCTCGCACTGTCTCTCCACGTCCCTGACATCTTCTTGTCTGAAGTACATCCATCAACCAAACTCTTAGATGTCTCCACATATGATTTTGTTGTAATACCCCCTTAAAACTAATTTCCTCGCATTCTCTCCCCCTTCTCCTCCTCCTCCTCCTCCTCCTCCTCCTCCTCCTCCTCCTCCTCCTCCTCCCCCCCCTCCTCCTCCCCTTCCCCCTCCCCTCCTGCTCCCCTTTCTACTCCTCCCCCTCCCCCTGCCCCTCCCCGTACCCCTCCTCCTCCGCCTCCTCCCCCTCCTGCGCCTCCACTAAGACGCCCAGACCTCTACCATTTTCAGCTTTTGATGCACTTCCCTCCACATTGCCTTTCCACTTCCCCAACCGATACCTGTGTCTGAAGAAACCCTAGGCCCCTGCACTAGCCGTTCTTCTGTGTCATGCAATCCCGCCCATGCTGTTCACTAACTATGTTGTCAGAAGGCCCAAGCCGTCATGCAATACCCCCCGCGCTGTTTCTTTACTCTTCAACCACTAACTGTGTCGCCAGAGGCCGCCACCCATCATCACCACCCACTCTCGTGCGCCCCACCACCTCTTTCCATTCCGTTTCAAGGATCTCATGCTCGATTATCCCCCCGCATCTTCTCTCCCTCCCATTGATTGTTGCATTCCGCAGAGGTTCTAGACCCTTCCACCATTCCTGGCGCAATGGCGGACAACGAGGGCTCATGGAACAACCAATGGCACCTGCTGCAGCACAGCCAGCAGCAGGCGGAGGAGCAGCAATGGAAGGGAACGGAGGAGCAGCAGTGGCGGGGAGCGGAGGAGCAGCAATGGCGGCAAGAGGTGCAGCCGCAGTTGTTTGGTCACCTGCTGGGTCACCAGCAGTTAGAGGGGGACGCTGGGCTGAGAGGAGGTGCAGACCTGGTCGAGCAGACGCAGCTGCAGCAGCAACAGCAGCAGCAGCAGCAGCAGCATCAGCAACAGCAGCAGCATCAGCAACAGCAGCAGCATCAGCAACAGCAGCAGCATCAGCAACAGCAGCAGCAGCCGTGGTTTTCACGAAACCCAAGCATGGAGGAGCAAGCAGGAATCGCTGCTGCAGGCCTGCTAGCACCCGCACCCATTCTCGACCACTCACTTGACCAATCCCCTTCCAAAGCCCTCAACTTCCTCTCTCAGAATCACAACCACATGGCTGCAGGCGCTGCTGGCGCTGCTGGGTGGAGCTCTTCCCATGCAGGAGGGACAGAAAGAGGTTCCGGATCCATAGCACCAACAGCGCTAGCATCACCAGCAACTCCAGCCGCAGCACGAGCAGCGGCAGCTGCGTCAGCGTCAAGACCGGCCCTGCCGGCGTTGCCAGCAGCGTCATCCGCGGCAGCAGCATCGGCATCTCCAGCAGGTGGTGCATCAAGAGCATTGGTCGTGCGAGGAGGCAACACCAACGCAGTGTCTGTTCAACACCAAGCTCTCCTCTCCTCAGCAGGCCCCACAGCAGGCAGCAGCCCTGTCCAACCCCCCAACCACCTCAAATCAAACTCCGACTCCAAATCCCTCTCCGGAGGCTCGGGAACGGCCCAACCTGCCGAGCCTGACTCGGGGAACGCGGCCACCAGCGCCAAGCCTGCGTCCAGCTGCGGCGGCGGCGACCCGAAGCTGTTCCGGGGGGTGCGGCAGCGGCACGAGGGCCGGTGGGTGGCGGAAATCCGATACCCCAAGAAGCGTTCCCGCGTGTGGCTCGGCACGTTCAACACCCCGGAGGAAGCAGCAAGAGCGTATGACCGAGCTGCTGTGAAGCTACGAGGGCCCAAGGCTCGGACTAACTTTCCCCACCCGGCCCTGGCGGAATGGCAGCCTCTGCCTGGGTATGTTGGGGTGGAGAAGGCGATTAGTGAGGCGAGGGAGAGGGGTGGCGGGGATTTGGGTGCGGCAGGGGTGGCTGGGCGGGTTCAGGGTTCAGGGTTCAATGCTTCTAATGCTGCTGGGAGCTCTTTAGGCGGCCAAGGGTTGGGGAGGCAGGTGCAGGTGGTGGTTTCTGGTGGGGTTGGGGGAGGAGGAGGCTTGGTGGGTGGTGGAGTGGCAGGGGGAATTGTGGGGGGACAGTCAGGGGTAGGAGGTGGGGTTGGGGGTGTGGGGGGTGGGGTTGGTGGGTCGTTCAGTGGGCTGCTGGAAGGGCAGGGAGGAGTGGGTAGTGGTGATGGTGGCATTGTTGGTGGTGGTGTTGGTGGTGGTATTGTTGGGTTGAGAGGGGCTGTGAGTGGTGGCTTGGACGACAGCACCCTGCAACAGCTGCAATCGCTGGGGATTCCTCCGTCCATTGTGGGTGCTTTGCAGCAGCAACACCAGTTGCAGCAGCAGCAACAACAACAGCAGCAGCAGTTTGGGTCACCGCCGATGCAGCGCCAACAGCAGCAGCAGCAGCAGATTATGAGTGTCCTGGGAAGCCAAGGAGCAGTAGCAGCAGCAGGAGGGATAGACGCAGGAGGAGGAGGAGGAGGAAGCGCAGCAGGACCGTCAGCAGCAACAGCAGCAGCAACGGCAGCAGCGGCGGGGCCAGCCATACAGAGGGCTCTTCTGGAGTTGCTGGTAGCAAACGCGGGCGGGGCGGGCGGGGCGGGCGGCGGGGCGGGTGGGGGTGTGTCAGAGCGCATTCTCTTGCTGTCACTACAGCGGCAGCTGGAAGCTCAGCAGCGTCAACAGATGCTGCAGGCGCTGGCGCAGGGGCAAGGGGGGCAGGGCGGACAGGTGCAGGGAGGGGGCTTGGGGCAGGGGCAAGGAGGGGCCTTGGGGCAGGGGCAGGGGGGAATGGGGCAAGCGGGAGGGCTGGGGCAAGGGCAAGGGGGAGCGCTGGCGCAAGGGCAGGGGGTGGGAATGAGGCAGAAAGAATTGGGTCAGCAGCAGATGTTTGCGCAACAGCAAGGACTTGAACAGGAAATTTCCGGGCATGCTAATATGCAGCTGCAGGGTTTGGGGCAGGCGAGTTCTATCTTGCAGGGGCTTGTACAGGATCACGGGCAGGGGCAGGGGCAGGGGCAGGGGCAGGGGCAGGGGCAGAGAGTGGGGCAGTTGGAGAATCAGGGGAAGAGAGCTAGAAGGGGGGACTCGAACGGTTCTGAAGAGTCTTCAACGGGGGTCAGTGGTCCTGGCAGTGCTGCTAAGGGCGCTGCTGCTGCTGCCGGTACCGGTAGTGTTGGCGGCGGTGGTTCTGGCGGTGCTGCTGGTGGTGGTGGTGGTGGTGGTGGTGGTGCGGCTAGTGTGGGGAATGTAGCAGCTGCAGCAGCAGGGCTATCCACTGGAGGGTGGGCTGGTGGAGGGCTAGCTGGGGGAGGTGGCAACTGGCAAGGTGGGGGTGGGAACCCGGGTGCGCTGCAGCAGCAGCTGTCCAGCCAGGCGTTTGCTCCTTCTGCCGGCTCTTTGGGAGCTTTGCAGAATCAGCAATACCAGCAATCCCCCCGACAACGTGTGCAGAATCAGCAGCAAGTACAGGGTCAGCAGCAAGGGCAGGGTCTACAGCAGGGGCAGAGTCAACTGGCAGCACCCCAGCATCAGCAGTTGACTGAGTCTCACCTGCTGCAGGCCAGTCAGCAATTGCAGCTGCAGCAAAACTCGTTTCTAAACCAACAGCAACAACAGCAACACCCGCAACAGCAGCAACTTCAGCAACAGCAGCAGCAGCAACACCTGCAACAGCAGCAGCAGCAGCAGCAGCAGTCGCAACAACAACCGCACCAACAGCAGCAGCGTCAGCAGCAGCAACAGCAGCAGCAGCAGTTGCAGCAGTTGCAGCTAGCACAACTGCTGCAGCTGCAGCAGCAACTGCCGCAAAGTGAGCAGAACCAACAGCAGCAGCAGCAGCTGCTAGCAGCTTTCCTGCAGCAGCACGGAAGCAACACGTTTGGTGGCAGCAGCAACGCTGGCGGTGCTGCTGCTGCTGGTGCTGCTGGTGGCAACGGGAGTGGCATCATGGATGATCAACTCTTTTTGCAGCAGGCGAGACCAAAATAACTTCTGAGGCGCCTCAAAAGCAGCACAGGCGCAGCAGCAGTATAGGTAGTGGTGCTGTTGGTGGCAGTGCTGCTGCTGGCGGTGCTGCTGGTGCTGCTGGTGGCAAGGGAGGGGCATCGTGGATCAACTCTTTCTGCAGCAGGCGAGACCAAAATAAACGGCTCGTTCATTCACCCTCCCACCCACCCACCCTAACATCACTAGTGCCCACTGTACGTCACTCCTCCGCTCCCTCCCTTTACTCCCTAACCGTTCGCATCACAGGCAGCTCACACCAGGCTTACTCTCGCTGCACTGTGTTCAGCCGGCAATTCTCTCGCTCACACCCAAATCTCAATGCTGTGGAGTCCACCGCTCAGACCTTAAAGCCCTCCCAGCTGGACCTATCACGGCCCCCTCTCTCTGCCACGTTGGCAAAGTGCCCTCCGGCTGGATACATCACAGCTTCGTCTCACGTAAGCATGCTTACCAGAACGCTGTTAAGCCTGCTCTAGAGCATGGCACGGCCCTGGCGAAACAGGTGTGAAGAGCAGCATGAGAAGAGGGCGTACCTGTTCCGATCAGTGCAAAGCTGTGGATGAATGTCAAGGGGATGGAAAAGGGGATGAATGTAAAGCGGGTGATCAATACAAAAGGGGTGATTGATGCAAAGAGGTGTACGAGCAATTCACAGCAGTTGATTATTGAAATGGAAGACGGGTGGTGATGGAATGGGACGGGTGGTGACGGGTGGTGATCAAAAGCCACCTGCGGAAGCTGAAGGGTTTGTGCCGATCGATGCATGGGGACGTGAGAGTGGGATGCGGTTGATATGGGATGGGTTGGGGTGGGATGGGGTGGGGTGGGATGGGACGGAGTGGGGTGGGGCGGGGGGGGATGGGATGGGACGGAATGGGATGAGACGGAAGGGGATTGGAACGGAACGAGACGAGGAAGGACAGGATGGGATGGAGGGGGTGGGGAAAGTAGGCCCGTAACCTCGCGGGCCTGAAAGGAGTTGAAAGGACTTGAAAGGTGTTGAAAGGAGATGAGAGGAGTTGAAATCAGGATTCGCCATCGGGAGCAGCAGCTGCGAGCTGAGAGCCGCGGCCTCTGTGTGTTGAGAGCCGCACATGCGAGCTCAAAAGGAAGCTCTAGAGAGGAGGGGGTCAGGTCCAGAGTCGTGGGAGGCGGGAATCAGAGTAGGGTCACATAACTTCAACCTTGTGTGCCCGAAAGGAAGGTCTGTCAACAGGAGTTCAGAGCTGCACCTGCCTGAGTCATTGTCTCCTCTGTGTGCACATCAGCTTTGTGTTCGGGGATATCTAAGCAGGAGTGCCCAGAAACTCCTCAATTGCATGCCTGAAGATCCCTCAATTGTGAGCCCGAAAAAGGGCTGCAGCAGACTAACACACTGACTGTCAACCATTCTAACAGCCCAGCCTTAACAGGGTGATCTAACGGGGTGGCTTCACGGGGAAGCAGGTTCTGAGGCGGCTCAACGGTCACAGCAGGCACACGAGAGGCTGAGACTGTTGTGGGAGTGGTGTTCGAGGTGCCTCAAATGTTGCGGAAAGAGGTTGTTGTGGAAGCAGGTGCAGGCAGGGGTTCAGGTAGGGGCTGGGCAGGCTACCAGGATGGAAGGAGTGGGGCGAGGAGGCTGAGTGGATTCACTTTTGAGATTTCTGAGAAGTGGGCCGAGCAGGGTGCTGCAGCAGCAGGAGTGGGCCGAGCAGCCTGCTGCAAGGACAGGTGTGGGGCGAGCAGAAACCTGGGCAATTTATGAGTGGACTGGGGTGGAAAAGAAGGGGCTCGTTGCGTTTGAGGGGCACGAGCCCTGGTAGGAATAAAGATAGTGGGTGAGTGGTAGTGCGTGTAACAGAGTAGCAATAAGGCGCGGATCCAGCACAGGGGATGCAGAGACGTGGAGCCCACAGGGAGAGGCAGCATTGGCAGGAGGTGAGCAGGGGGCAGGAGGCGAGCAGGGGGCAGGAGGTGAGCAGGGGGCAGCCAAGGCAGGAGGCAAGCTGACAACGCTGCAGGGGCAGAAGGCACGGGTATGCTTGCCCCAGCTGGTTCGGATAGGTTAGTGGAGGAGGGAGGTGGAGGAGGGTTGTGAAGGAGGGTAGTGGAGGGAGGTTGAGGAGGGTGGAGGCGCAGGTTGGAGGGTGGTGGAGTGGTGGACAGTAGGAGGAGCTCTGGTGGACAGTAGGATGAGCTCAGCTAACAGGTCACTCAGGAGCTTTCTTTTGAGGCGCCTCAAAGTGAGGTTATTCAGGGGCTTCAGTAGAAGTGTGACCACGGTAGCACTTGTGGGCGGTGCTTTGCTTTTGCTGATATATTTGGGGGAGAGCTGGAACACTAATTGATAGGCATTCATGCATTCATGCATTCTTTTAGTGCAGTTCAGAAAAAAACGAGTGAGTCACAGCAACCCATTCTCCCTCGTTCTCTCTCACTCTCCCGCCATACCGAACTAACCAACCCATTCTCCCGCGTTCTCTCTCACTCTTATGAAAAAATTTGAATTATATTTCAAAATTTAAAGATTGTGACAAGACTTGTAAAGGAGCATGCAGTAAGGAGTCAAGTGCTCCTTATCTTGTGGCAGGTCCACGGACCTGCCACCTTGTCCATTTCATTCGTAGATCTGAATCTACAACCCATCCCTCCCTCCCCTGTAGCGAAATTCCGTTCATACATAAACTAGTCTAGATACAAATCATTATGTTATTTGAAGTTACCACTTTTTGTAATTTGCAATCTAGTGTGCTGTATGATTGAGATCTGAAATGCTATGACGACTGCTCTGCAGACTCCTTGAAGAGTCTTGTCTTAATCTGCGGTATCAACCAACCCATCGCTTCCCAATACTGCCCCAGTATCCCTATGTCTCCCTTGGTCTCCCTCTATCCCCTCGTCAGTGCAGCATTCCCCCTCGTTCTCCCTCACTCTTCCACCAACCCAACTCACCCATGGCTGGCCGAACTCGAAGCACCCCATTCTCCCTCACTCACCCCCCCTCGTTTTCCCCCCCTTTTTTTTCACTCTCAGTCTCCCTCGTTCTCCCTCATTCCCCCCAGTCTCCGTATTGCTCCCTCCATATTAACACAACCCGTTGCTTCTCAATTTGACGGTGGTCCATTTTCCCACCAAATGCATGGTAACCCATTCTCCCTCATTCACCGCAATCTTCTGACGTGTCAATGAACACACCAATTGCTGCCCAAAATTGCAATACCGCATTCTCCCTGTAATTTACCAAAACAACCTACCTGTATCACCTCTAGCCAGACTCTCAAGAACACCCTTTTCTTCTTCGGAGATTGTAAAAGTACTGTAACATGAGTAATCTTGTTCACCACATGTCTATACGGTATAACAAGCTTCAACAGGCTTCTGTGGCTCTCAGTTCTTCCCATCGCACAGCCATATGCATTCAGTGCAGTGCATTGTGCATGAACGGAACAGACACGGTAGCCTTCTTGCAGAATAGAACATGTGACGTGTCCTTGTGACGTGTTCTTGTTATAGTGCCTATTGATTGCAGAGGAATTCCTTGTTGCTTCGTGGTGCTTGCATGCCAAAATGACTCCATATGTAAGTAGAATGCAAGCAGCAAATGACGGTAAAAGAAGAGCATATGCGTGTCAAGTGGACTCATGAATGGATGGACGGATGCATGGAATCATGGATTTGTAGATGCATGTATGCATTTATGGATGCGTGAATGGATGTACGCATGAAAGCATGGACACATGGATGGATGGATGCGTTCGTGAATGTGTGGATGCTCAAATGCATTGACACATGGATGGATGGATGCATGCGTTCATGCATGTATGCATGGATGTGTGGATGTATGGATGTGTGGATGTATGGATGTGTGGATGTATGGATGTGTGGATGTATGGATGTGTGGATGTGTGGATGTATGGATGTGTGGATGTATGGATGTGTGGATGTATGGATGTGTGGATGTATGGATGTGTGGATGTATGGATGTGTGGATGTGTGGATGCATGACCCATGGATGGATGGATAAACGACACAGGTGCAGATACACGGGTGCATGGATGATATATTGGAATGATTCACACAATTGGTATACCACACAACTGGTGCGATTCATATTGTGAAGCGACAGAAGCACTGTGTGTGGCAGAGGCAGCAGCGATCCCAGCTTCAGAAGCTGGGGAAACTGCCCGTAAGCATTAGCACAGGAACAAAAGCTGCAGTTGCTACAGCTGTTTCAACCGCTACAGCAAATATTGTGGCTACTGCAGCAGCTATTGCTGCTTCAGAGGATACTGCAGCTTCAGCGGCTACAGAAGCTTCAATTGATGCAGCAGCTGGATTCTAGGGGCGGACCAGCCACAGCTGCTGCTGCTGCTGCTGCTGTAAGGGCATGATAGAAACTAGCCACAGAGGCAGCATGGAACCGCTGTTGCTGTGCAAGCATCAAAGGCAGGGATAATGGCGTTTGCAACCTCACGCCCTCGCTGATGCCGCAGGACTGCTAGAGCAACAGTTGGCAACAGCCAGAGAAGTGGAGGCTGGAACAGCAAAAACAGCAGCAACATGCTTGCGAAGGGGGGATGGGTCTCCTCCTGGGTTCATGTATAAGCCCCCCCCCCCCCCCCCCGCCCCTTTAGAAAAAAAGCGGCAACGTGCTAGAACCACAACAAGAAGCAACCCCTAGGGCGTCTTGTGTGATGTGGTGTAGAATTGGTGGTAGCTATTTGCGGCTTGTGACTGTAATAACACTTAGTCATGCTGGACATAGTTACGCGCACTGCTGTTTTGGTGGGAGGGTGGGAGGGTGTGAAGGGCATCAGTGCACAAGGGTTGGTGGGCAATGTGATACAGTATGCAACTGTTGTTGTAGCGCAGGTGGATGGCTTGTATCTATACACACCTTCAAGCTGCGGCGGAATTTATAGCTATGAAAGGAAAGTTGTTACTGAGAACTCTCAGAGAGCTTACAGAAGATGGTGTCAAAGTATTATGATGTGTAGGATGTAGTGGGGTAGCCAATATGGGGTACAACCCCTTAAGGATTTGTATTTTGTACCCAACTCTCTCATAGTTCATTCATTCCTGCTTCTAGTTCTGACAGATGGGTATGCTGATTCACTCAATGTGGTGGTACTTGGATGTGTTGTTTCAGACACACTGCAGCTTGTAAGGAACTGCTTGGACTCATGGCTTGCAAGTTGCAAGCTTTGGTATGTGAGTAATGTCTTGGTTGCCACACGTGTGGGTTGTACGTGTCGCATTACATACTGGTGCCTAAGAGGCAGCTCCGATAAAGTGGAGTGGTGTAGGAAGAATGACATTGGCCCCAATCCCACAGCAGCAGTCACAGCTGCTCGTTTCTCTACGCAGTTTGTCCCAAGCTGTCCCCATGAAACACTTCGCTAACGTTGCTATCGAGTTTCGCATGCAACTAGAGCCCCCTGACTTTCAAGAATCTCAGCACCCTAACAGCAGCTGCCACAGCTGCTTGTTTCCTTGTCTTCGTTAGTCCCAAATTATCCCCATGAC